GCACTATAGTTTCTTCGTAGCTGCTCAGCACCCTGCCCACGAGATCCGCGCTACCTGAGCACGCCTGAACGCAGACGTTTTCACCTTTCATTGGCAGCCCCAGCCACTATTATGCGTTTCATGTTCATGTTCTGCCCACGGCAGCCATGGAACCAGCCTGTGGTGCTCTTAGTGCGGTAGCCGGTCACTGTAAAATCGTTAATGACCGCCGCACCTCCCATATTCGTACGTGGAATGCACTTATCCACGCTGCACTACAGGATCGTAACCCTTACAGAGCGGTACGTGCTTTCTCTCCGATCGGTGCGAGGCTCAGAGGTGTGCGTCCTTTGTTGGACATGCCTTTAGACGCCCTGCCACGCCCCAGTACCGAATTTCACCGACTCCCACTCATCGGCTTTATTTGCGCTGACAGTGGCATAGTTTGATTGCTAAGAGCTTATTCACAGCGTTAATGGCAGTCTAAAAGGAATAGGCTCAGCACTTGCAGTGTGATTTTGCTACCGAATGTCAATGCACAGCGCCGGTCATTCCCACTAACCACAGAACAACGTGACCTGTTGCAGCTTCCGATTCAGTATTGGCGTCACGACAAGTCGTATTCACGACACAAGGTGAGCATTGAGCATTCACAGCCCTCACGAAGCGGGCCGCCCAGAAGTCTGTCGAACCAATGGAGAACAACGTGAGTCCAGCTTGCAGTTAGGCTGCATATTTGTACAATGAATCATTTGAAAGGGTGAATCATTACTTAGAAAACCTGAAAACCTAGTACACAAGGGTGCTTTTCATGAATTTGATATCACTGCTTATATTACAGGTCCACAAAATAGTCATGCACCCATGAATATGCTTACATGTGCCAATTTGTGAAACACGTTTGTTTGAATATCACTGAGAAAAACAATGTATCTATTTTCATGATGGTTCATTATCTCAAAGACATATCATATTTTCCTCAGAATGGTGCTTGCGTGAGAACATGCGTTCCGTATAGTGAAGCTCGCACGCTCATTCTCCAAATGAAAAGGGAGAGGGCTGTGAAGCATTCCCATGGTTCATTGGTATTCCCGCCCACTTACTCTGGTGGACTATGACCGCGCATCTTGCCTTTCTGTTAGGTGAATGGCGCACCTGAACAGCATACCCACGCACCTATAAATAGCAAATAGTGGCTCATGGAATGTGACCCCGTTTTCTGCATTCTTGAACCAAACGAGGAATATTATCATACATTTGCATAAATTCGCGGAGCGTCGCCATAAAGAGTCGGAAAACTTCTCTCCCGTGTCCATCACTCCTGAAAATACGGCTGGCTTTTGCTGCCGCCCTGACAATCGAAGATTTCATCGTCCGACTAGTCCTCCGGTGTCCTCGCACCGAAATCCTGAGATGACGCGGGATGAGTCTGTCGCTAGGCTCCAGTCGCTACTGTGGGAGAGTTTCTAGCTCTCACAGAGACAGCGGCACTAGACTGGGCTATTACATGACATTCCCATGTCGGGTTGATAAGTGCAGGAAATGGTGAGCTGGAGTGGTTTGACGGAACATGACCAGGGTAAAAGGTACTCAGGAGGGAGGCTAGGGATGAAGAACAAGGAAAGCAGATATGCGCGAACTTGGCTTGAGGAGGAAATGGAATAGGGTAAGGGCGGGTAAGAGTACGCGGGCGATAAGAGTACGCATCAGCTGTTTCGGTTGCTTAGCAACGCGGGTTTGTCGAGTTCATGAAGTGACATGAAGCCGCCAGTGCGTGCATGTCACCAACGGAACGCATGGGCGTTGAGCGGCGACGCTGTTGAGTTTAAGGCGATGAATATTATTTTCGAGCGTTATGATATTATTATGATATGGTACAATAATTTTGATACTTGGCAGTTGAGATGAGGTACATTTCCGTGATTGTTGTGGGAAACTTGTGAGGTTATCTGGGGAAATACTGTACAGTGCAATATTCTGTTTGCGAAATTTTGCACAACGTTTCGGGCTTGTTTTGTGCGCGAATTGCATGTACGGTAAGAGGACGCACTGTTCAGGAGGGTAAGAGTACGCAGAATTATACATTAAATCGAATATGCAGAAATATATAAGTATTAATCTATCGCTCAATGACGTTTGTTTTGTAGGTATATCATCAATGGAGCACTGTGATGCAGATGCGTACCCGAAATTCTTCCAAATACGAGTTATTCTCCTTTTTGATTGTGCATTTTTTTTAAGAAACACACGACATGATTATTTCCTGATTTATAGACTTGAAAGATTTATTTTATGTTTTTCTTTTTGGATACTAGAATTAACTTAAATGCCTTCTGAGTTTGAAGTTAAGCATTTGACAGTGCAAGCTGCATAGGTGTGTGTTCATATGCTTGCGTACTCCACCCGCCTGGCGTGCGTACTCTTACACACCCCATATGGTAAGAGTACGCAAGTGCAACGGTTCAGAAAATGTCAGTTTTAGACCACTTCCATTTACGCTGAAGGATCGTTGCCCCATGGG